TTGGCATAAATAGATGAAGAAAAACACGAAGCCTCCACTAGCTAATTTAGGGACAGGCACTTATGTAGTGTAAATTTGCCCCGTTTTTATGTAACAATGTGACAGAAGTGGTGAACGGCTTGCTCACAGACACAGTTTTAGAAATAGGCAGAAAACTGTTTGTATACACACAAAAGTCCTTCAAATCAGTTAAATGTCAAAGGCATTTTAAAGTCGTCTGATTTTTATTTGTGTTTTTTTTGATCTCAGGTGTGCATCAGCGTACAGAGATGTGTCTTCCTGCTTGACCCCTTCTATACTCGAAAGTGGAGGAGCCGCTATGACCTCGTGATCAGTATAGCGGTGTGGCTGCTTGTTGCTCTGGCCTGCTCACCCTTCATCCTCATGCGTGCAAGCAGCAACAGCAGCACCGCCCATTCACCTCTCAAATTTAACAAGTCATCCCCTCTGAATGTTACCGTGACCCAGCAGCCCACAGCTTACAGAACACTCAACGTGACTTCTTTGCCCTCCAGTCTCAGCGGGTTGATGAATGAAACTCAAGTCCCCTGTTTTAAAGACTTGCCCATGCGTCATGTGCCCTTCTCTCTGGTGGTCACCTTAATGGTACTCGCCGAGCTGTTTGGCTTTGTGATTCCTCTGGCTTGCATCAGTTGGAGCTCCATCTGCATCAGCTGCTCCCTTTACCAGAAAAACAACCAGATTTCAAACAAGTCGGCTCGATGTCTTTCGATGCGGAGTCGACCCTCCACTTTCACCTCCGCCGATAAGAAAGATGAGACACAACGCCCCAGTGGGGAGAAACAGCGCGCACTGCGGATGGTGCTGAGTTGCACCTTCGTCTTCCTGCTGTGCTTTGCCCCGTACCACATTAATTTCCTCCTCTATCTGATGGTGCAGCAAAACTTAGTGTCTGAGTGCGCCACCCGGTTGGCCGTGCGCCAGTTCCACCCCGTGTCCCTGTGCTTGGCCAGCCTGAGCTGCTGCCTTAACCCATTGCTCTACTACTTCCTAACAGCTGAATTCAGGTTGCAGCTCAGGAGGCAAACCTCCTCTTTCACTTCCGCTTTGGTCAGCTCTCAGAATTCTGTAATGCACAGACTGTTGAGCTTTGAGAGTAGCTCTTCCAAATGAGAGGAGAGTGACCGAGCTAATTTAAAACATCTTGCCAGGGTAAAAATGAAAACATATGTATATACTGTATTGCGCACGAGACATATATTCTGCTGAAATGACAAAGATCAACATCAAGGCGAAATGACCCAAGCACTCTCTGACTTTAAATCCATGCAGAGGAAGCAAATGTTCTCTCAGCAAAAGTTTCACAAGACATGGTTACACATTACAAGAAGATGTTTGAGAGTCCCAGGTTATCTCTTCCTTTGTCATTATCGAAATGGAAATGTATGTCTTCATCTGTAAATAAAGCTCTGGATTACCTACAATTTCTGGCCAAAACATTGATTACACAATTTATTGATATCCATCACAAATGTCAGGATGTCCTTAAAGTTTCCGGACAGAATAGGACTGTATAAATGCAGACCCCGATAGATGTCAAAAAATATGTTTATTTCCACAAAAAAGGCACGAGGCTGACAAAGTGCACATAAGGACACTGGTAAAAAACGAGAATAAAAAGTGCTTGCAAACGGCAAGGAAACGAGAAACAGAAATAGCTTGTCATTAAAGGACAAGAGGATCAATTCGCGACGAGTACAATCCGACAATATTGATACAATGAAAATCAAGGAAGCTACTTCCATTGGAAGATACAAAATGAGACAAGAGAACTATGGCGCGATAACATGGTACGTCTAGAAAACAGCACAATGGCTTGAGCAAGGCAAATGAGAAGAGTCCTTAAGTCAGGCGTCACAAACCCCGGTCCTTGAGGCCTGCTTTCCTGGATGTTTTCCATCTCTCCCTAATGCAACACACCTGATTCAAATGGTCAGGGCCGTTATCAGGCCTCTGCAGAGCTTGCTGATGATCCCTTGCCTTAAGTCATGGGTGTCAAACTTGTTTTTGTCGCAGGCCACATTGTAGTTACGGTTTCCCTTGGAGGGCTGTTATGAATTTTGGGAAACCATATAAATGTTTACATATTACTTACACAGCGCACAACAAATCAAATTGATGAATAACTAGTTTTAAAATCAGAACTCAAGAATAATGACTGTTATTGTGGATTACAAATGACAATTTGAAATTTTGGTTCAGACTTTAGCAAGCATCATGGAACTTGACATGTTTGATTTGCTTTTGCGGGCCACATAAAATGGTGTGGCGGGCCAGATCTGGCCCCCGGGCCTTGACTTTGATACTGCTGTCTTTAGTAGTCCGTGATCTTAATGAGTGTATGGGTAAAAGGTGCGCAGTTGAAAGACAGGTCCACCCCTGCCACCTGCTGGAGACAAAACCGAATAGAATCATGGCAACAAAAACTGCATCAAAAATCTACTTTCACACAAAAATCATACCGTACTTTGGAATCTATAATATGTAGACCACAAGATTTGGCTGTTTTGTGTGTGTGCGTGTGCGTGTGTGTGTGTGTGTGTGTGTATGTGTGTATTAGGCATAGGTTGATTACCGATTTTAAAAAGTCGAGATTTCAGGAAAACGGAGTACCCGGAGAAAACTCACGCAGGCACGTGGCGAATATGCAAAGTCCAGACAGGAAGGCCGGAGCCAGAATCCAACCCTACACCTCTGAACTGTGAGGCCGACGTGCTAGCCAGTTGACCACCAGAACAATATAGTCATCGATGAAAATTACGGTATATCCTGCTTTTCCAATCACTCACACATAACAGCTATTTTATCGCGGAAAACTTGACTGACAAGAAATTTAACAGTAAAAATTGATAAAATGGTCTGTCCCGACCAGAAAGAGATCTTGTGGGCCGACCACTCTGAGAATTTTAATTTTCAATCCACAAACGGATACAATAAAAAAAAAAAAAATTTGAAATAATGCTGAGTAAAATATTTGACACTGTGGTGCTCTGCACCACTGTGAACTGCAACCACAACGATGAATACATTGTTCAATAATTTCACTCTTATCTGTCTCCGTAAAGCCTCATCCTTTGACACAGTTCTTTTTTTTAATCTCATTCCACTGTCTAAGGTGGTGAAAATGCTGTGGCCAGTCGGTATAGAAATGGATTTTACCGTAAGAGTGATCTAAACTGTTTACTTCCTGTTATCATGCAAGTTGGTGACAGTTGGCAGCAGCTGCTCAAACCCATAAACCGCCTTTTTCTGATAACCGCTTTCAGCACTCACTGTCTCACTCAAGTTAAAGACTGGGACCAATTGAATACTCTCAGTTGCAACACATGGTGCATGCATTTGTGATTGCATCAGAAATGGCCCTTCTTCAATTATTTTCCAGCACTTTATTGTGAGATGATTTCTATTTCAAAACAAAAAACTGAAAGAATGGCGGAATTGTGACCAGAAAATGTCCGTTCATTTTCGATTTTCATTTCTCCGAGTTTGACAGTTGAAAATCTATTCTAGTGTATTTTTTAAAACGTACCCTTGAACAATGTGTTACAAATTCTTGTAAACCACACCCCCTCCTCTCACTCACAGGAAGCTCTGTGTGGGCCGAAAAAGCTTCTGGGGCAGGCAGACAAGTGAGACAAAGGCACTGAGACATAAAGAGGACATTGTTTGATCATAGCAACAGGAAATTGTGATATCTTAACAAAAACAAGCTTCAGAAAAAAGCATGAAGAATAGAACCAAAGATGGAAAGTGAGTGGATGGGATGGGATGACTGATGGTTAAGACCTTCTGCTTCCTCTCCTCGTGATGCTACAGGCCGTCAAAATGGAAGACAGATCGAGGTGAGGTGTTGTAAATGTTTTAATACGTAAACTCTTCCTGAAGAAAAGACATTTGGAGTTGACAACAACTGGATGCTTGCCGTTTGGCGCAAAGGTCTCATGATGAAAGCTTTGTTTCTCCAATGTGAGGAATGTCAGTTATGTAGAGTGGCTATGTGTGTGCGGGCACATGCGTTCATGCATGTGCACGTGTATTTTTTTCCCACACTTGCTCTGAATGTCACAGTGATGTCACCATGTCTCTATTTGTACATGCCCACATAGTCGAGTATACATGGAAGGACATGAGTGTTGTGTACATTTATTCTTCCCATCCATTTTCTGATTCGCTTATCCTCACAATGGTCGCGGGGCGTGCCGGAGATGATTCAAGCTGTCTTTGGGCAGTCAGCGGGGGACACCCTGAACTGGTTGCCAGCCAATCGCAGGGCACACAGAGGCGAACAACCATCGGCGCTCACACTCACGCCTAGGGACAATTTAGAGTGTTCAAACAGCCTGCCATGCATGTTTTTGGAATGTGGGAGGAAACCGGAGTACCCGGAGAAAACTCACGGAGGCCCGGGGAGAACATGCAAACTCCACACAGGAACACCGGAGCCGGGATTGAACCCACCACCTCTGCACTGTGAGGTCGACGTGCTAACCACTCGACAACCGGGCCGCCCTTTATTCTTCCCTTTGGGAAATTACTGACTCAGTTGGGAGGTTGAATTCAGAATTGCATGTGTGTAGCTCCAACAGCAAGATCTTAAGCCGACGTCAGATGACACGAATGTAAGTTGGCAGCAGCTGCTCAAACCCATAAACCGCCTTTTTCTGATAACCGCTTTCAGCACTCACTGTCTCACTCAAGTTAAAGACTGGGACCAATTGAATACTCTCAGTTGCAACACATGGTGCATGCATTTGTGATTGCATCAGAAATGGCCCTTCTTCAATTATTTTCCAGCACTTTATTGTGAGATGATTTCTATTTCAAAACAAAAAACTGAAAGAATGGCGGAATTGTGACCAGAAAATGTCCGTTCATTTTCGATTTTCATTTCTCCGAGTTTGACAGTTGAAAATCTATTCTAGTGTATTTTTTAAAACGTACCCTTGAACAATGTGTTACAAATTCTTGTAAACCACACCCCCTCCTCTCACTCACAGGAAGCTCTGTGTGGGCCGAAAAAGCTTCTGGGGCAGGCAGACAAGTGAGACAAAGGCACTGAGACATAAAGAGGACATTGTTTGATCATAGCAACAGGAAATTGTGATATCTTAACAAAAACAAGCTTCAGAAAAAAGCATGAAGAATAGAACCAAAGATGGAAAGTGAGTGGATGGGATGGGATGACTGATGGTTAAGACCTTCTGCTTCCTCTCCTCGTGATGCTACAGGCCGTCAAAATGGAAGACAGATCGAGGTGAGGTGTTGTAAATGTTTTAATACGTAAACTCTTCCTGAAGAAAAGACATTTGGAGTTGACAACAACTGGATGCTTGCCGTTTGGCGCAAAGGTCTCATGATGAAAGCTTTGTTTCTCCAATGTGAGGAATGTCAGTTATGTAGAGTGGCTATGTGTGTGCGGGCACATGCGTTCATGCATGTGCACGTGTATTTTTTTCCCACACTTGCTCTGAATGTCACAGTGATGTCACCATGTCTCTATTTGTACATGCCCACATAGTCGAGTATACATGGAAGGACATGAGTGTTGTGTACATTTATTCTTCCCATCCATTTTCTGATTCGCTTATCCTCACAATGGTCGCGGGGCGTGCCGGAGATGATTCAAGCTGTCTTTGGGCAGTCAGCGGGGGACACCCTGAACTGGTTGCCAGCCAATCGCAGGGCACACAGAGGCGAACAACCATCGGCGCTCACACTCACGCCTAGGGACAATTTAGAGTGTTCAAACAGCCTGCCATGCATGTTTTTGGAATGTGGGAGGAAACCGGAGTACCCGGAGAAAACTCACGGAGGCCCGGGGAGAACATGCAAACTCCACACAGGAACACCGGAGCCGGGATTGAACCCACCACCTCTGCACTGTGAGGTCGACGTGCTAACCACTCGACAACCGGGCCGCCCTTTATTCTTCCCTTTGGGAAATTACTGACTCAGTTGGGAGGTTGAATTCAGAATTGCATGTGTGTAGCTCCAACAGCAAGATCTTAAGCCGACGTCAGATGACACGAATGTAGCCCAATTTTAAGCCGACAGACGTTTCGCAGACAAAAGTAGTGTCTCGTAGACAATTTTGAGTTGTCTTGACCCGTCGTAGCCCCGTACAGTGTGACATGACTCATAAAGTGTATGTGCAAGTTTTTGATGCAAAGGGTTTCTCATATGACACTCTTGCCACTCAAACCACACATCTGAATACATTTGCCTTCTCTGCTGGTTTCACTCATGTTTTTTTTTCCTGAGATGGCTCTCACAGGCTTGCATGTGGACATGCATTTTGTTGTCGGGTGCAGAGTCGAAATTTCTGTGGCTTTGCACACGTTGTAAATAACCACCGCAAATGCTGTTATCAGATGTGTTTTGCACACAGACTGAGATGGGTGTGAATGTACTTTTGTGTTTGCTGTGATGAAGTCAGTTTCTTTTTGCATCAACAGGGTGTCTTCAGTGCAACACACACTAGCAGTAGGTTGACCGACAGATGCACGCAACATGCTTTCAAGCTTTCGGATGTAAGTACGTGATCACAAACATACAGATGCATGATGCTGATGGAGATGTTTTGCCTCAATGGTGTGGAAGGACTCCAGGGTAGAAATTTGCTTTCGTCAATCATCACATCGTTAAACCAAACTGAAGTTGATTCACCCTTTTTTCCCCTACCAGGACTGCCCAGGATTGCTGTTAGAATGCTGACTTTTTTGTTTCATTGAACTAAGAAGCTATTTTTTTTTCTGTGATACTTCTGAGGACTGGATTGATGACTACAAGTCTGAGTTTCTCCTCAAAATGATGGCTGCCATGGACCCACCTATTACTGGACGACGGCCAACGTGCCTGACACAAGCTCAGAATTGATCCACCATGCCGTATTGGCACCGCAGGGAATAAGATAAGAAGAAGAAGAACAATGAATAGCAGTTGCCAAAACGTTGTGGAGCTGCAGATGTATCAGCACCGTGTGTATGCAGTGGTGTACAGTGTCATCCTTGTGCCAGGCTTGCTGGGGAACATACTGGCATTATGGGTGTTCAGGGTTTACATTAGAGAAACTAAGAAGGCGGTAGTGTTCATGATGAATCTGGCTGTGGCTGACCTGATGCAGGTACAGTTCTTTTCACATATAATAATTTCTCTTTCTTCTTCTCAATCTATCGATTTTTAAAAATTAATTAGAAATGACATTCCTTGCGCGTGCCAAAGCACTGCAGTGACTCAACAAATTGTAATATACATTAAATAATTTAATTTCATCCGCTACTTTGTTTTGAGATTGATGGTGGGACGTAATTTTAACCCTGGAGAACCCAAGAACCCTTTTCTTCTTTGGAAAATGATGAATTATACATTAACTGATTGCTATCTGTTCACTGAACACCAAAATATATGTATTTTCAAATATTTAATGCTTTAATCCTAATTTAGGATTAGGGACAAATTTGACCCCTTGGGATTTAAAGGTAGCATTTGAGTAGCAGAATTTATCAGGGCCAAATTAGACCCCGTGGGTTCTCCAGGATTAAACTGTGAGGTGCTCCACGTTGAGATGATCGCAGCAGTCTTTAAGTGTGGGTTCTGTCACAAATGAACACATAGTCTTCTAAAAAGTAATATCCCAAAATTATAATCATGAACAACAACGATAGGCCATTTTTGAGCTTCATCCAGCAATCATCTCTGCATTTTCTCTCTCTTACATATGATCCATGATTATTCTGACCTCTCCTACCCTTATTTCCAGGTTCTTTCCCTGCCTCTGAGGATCTACTATTACCTGAACAACAGCTGGCCCTTTGGTAATGCTCTCTGTATGATATGTTTCTATCTGAAGTACGTCAACATGTACGCTTCCATCTACTTCCTGGTGTGTGTGAGCGTGCGCCGTTGCGAACTCATTATACGACCACTGAGATACAACGCCTCCAGGAAAAAGGTGGACGCGGTTGTGTGCACCCTGGGGTGGCTCTTGGTCTGCCTGGGCTGCCTGGCCTTCCCTCTGCTAAGAAACCCGGACTTCGATGAGGACCTCGTAGCCTCAGGGCTCAGCCCCACCCGTCCTCAAACCGACACGGTGTGTTTCTCAGAGCTGCCCATGCAGATGGTCACTGCTTCAGCAGCCTGGCTTATCTTAATCATCGCCGAACTCCTCGGTTTCATCATCCCCTTCACCCTGGTGCTAGCCTGCACCTGCCTGACCGCCGGGAGCCTTCGGATGAAGACATCCGGGGCCATTCCGGACCAGGGGGAGAAGCGGAGGGCTTTGAGGATGGTGCTAAGTTGCACCGCGGTCTTCTTGGTGTGCTTTGTGCCTTATCACATCACTATGCCGCTGGACTTCTTGGCGAAGGCCAACACGTTGAGCAGCTGCACTCTTCGGGCCCTGATCCTGATATGTCACCCTGTGGCACTCTGCTTGGCGAGCCTAAACTGCAGCCTGGATCCCATTATGTATTACTTCACAACAAATGAGTTCTGGAGGCGACTGAGCAAGCCAGAAGTGTGATTTCAAGCAGGTGAATCTCTCAAGGGATGGACTTGGTGTCAATGACTTTTTGTTGAAGGAGCAGTAAAGCCCCGTGATGTTTGCACTTTGAAGAAGGTATATGTAATTTACATCCAAAATCAAATGTGAAACATGTCTTGACACTTTTTAGAATGGAGATGAGTGTATTTCTTTTTAAACTTGCCTATTTGTGGTGACGAGAGATCCGTCGTAATTTTGAAGGAGGCTATCAGGAAATAGATGCATGCACCCTAAACTGGCTTTTCTTATAAATGCAATATAAAATGAACACACAACGCTTCTTTAATTCGCACAACGATGACAATAAAACACATGAAATGAATGTTAAATTCATCTTTAATCACCAAACAAATTGAGATAGTTCAATGGCTGTACATGTGGATCTAATATTCATGTATTGCGTTAAAAACATGGGCAAACGTTTCCAAGCACATTTCATGTTTGATTGTCTTTCTGGACAGGCATCATAGAAGGACACCACTGATTGAAAATAGCCAGGACCTCTTACTCTCACAGTCCAGGGCAACAGTAATAAGCAGTCTGTATTTGTCTTTAAAAACAATATATTTGTGAAAAATTCTAAACAAATAATATTTTCGGAAAAAATGAACACAATTCTATTTTTTTCCCATCATTTTACAACACAAATAAGAACTGAAATTATCACCATAAACTATATGCTTGAATGTTAAGGACTTTAAACACAAATGAAGTTAAACACACTTGGTCACATACAGAGCGACACTGTTCTCAGGTACGTTATCATTAAATAAACATTATATTACGCAGGACAACAGAGACTTTAGGGAAGTGGCTTCGGGGTTTGTGCTTCTAAGTAAAGACGGCCGACACTGCAGCATTTCCAAGGTGATGGGTGCTATCATACTACCACATAACATAACCCACAACAGTATACTGTACATCTCATGAGTAGACAAAAGCTGTTCTACGACTCTTTCTGAACGTGTGCGACAGTGGAGCTGCAGGCCAGCACGTACTTGTATGCTGTGATGCAGATGTTGAAAATGAGAAGCCTAACAAGGAGGTTGGAGACAGCTACAGACACTAAAAAGAGGAATCAAAGGTTTTGTAAATCTTCAGTGAACTGGATGATGCAGTTTTTTTTGTAGCACAACACTGCAGGCTAATAGCTGAAAGATAAGACCAATAAAAGGTTTAAGGGACTGTAGCAGAGGAGACTAAAACACATCACTGAGGGTTAAAGCGGGGAATGCAAACCAAAATCTGGAGCTGCACTGAAATAACGACTGTAACTTTTCAGTTGAACTTGGCTTCCTCTGCCTCCTACTCCGACCAACTCCTCTCTGCCTCCGTTGCTCGGGCTACCGCCATCGCATTCGGACCACGCTCCCATCAAGCCTTGCAGATCCGAGTCTCCGTTACAAACTTGTTTTCAAAGTGATGGAAGGTGAGGCACTCCTCTGCTGAGCGCTTCTGGATGCCTCCATCTGGCAGACACAAAGAAGTTAATCTCTTCTTTTGTGTCACCTTCAGAGTGACAGGTTTAGACAAGCTGACCGACTGCAAAATCCTCCTTCCTCAATGTTACGAACACATTTGTGAAAAGCGTACAAAAATGATGCCGATATCTAACATACTAGAATGAGGTTAGTGGTCAGTGATTGCATAGTAACAGACAAAGCACCTGGTTCAGGTTTAACACAATCACCGTATTTTCCACATTATAAGGTGCAGCTAAGAGCATTCAATTTTCTCAAAAGCCGACACTGCGCCTTATAATATGATTTGCCTTATATACGAATCAATATTCAGATTTTTGGACATAGTATTTTAAATATTCAATCAAGCGCCTTATTACAGCTGCAGGTGTTGTGAAGGCTCTTTAAAAATAAAGGTGTATTGTATTGTATTGTATTCCCTTTAGCGTAGCTTCCTCTAGTGGATGCCTAACGCAACCGCAGCTACTATTGTAGCTTCTCTTCTATGCGCCTCATAAAGCCGTGCACCTCATATATGAAAACAGTTTTAAAATAGGCCATTCGTTGAGGGTGCGCCTTATACTCCGGAGCGCCTTATCGTGTGGAAAATACGGGTAGTTTGCTTGGTTATTTAGTTTGCCCCACCTCTGGAGCTGATGAAGAGAAACATCAATACTATATGACTCTCCCACAACTGACAAAGGAGCACGAATAAATGGCAAACTGGTGGGAATGAAAAAAATAAAAAGCGAAGTAACCTTGTTAAAAAAATAGACTTTCTTAATGTCAAAAGAAATGGTTAGGGGCAGACCTGGTAGGCTGGCTCGGCGCTCCATTCTGTAGGTTTCTTTGCCAGCGCACAGTCTGCGGATGTAGAAGCCAAGAGGCTTGATGTCATCAATGCGCTCGGTCACCACAAGGTCCTCTTGCACCAGGTAGCTGCGGTACGAGCCAGACTGAGACACAATCACAGGAATTTGGATTAATTTCTCATACATACCACACAATCTGAATTTATAGAGCACACCACTTTTTTTTTTTTTTAACACTAGAAATTATGTGACAATTACAATTTATTCCACTTGATATCTTGGATCTCGATTTCCTCATGAATGCATAGAAATTGGGTCTACTAGTGGACATATTGTTAAAGTGTAGTTTTGGAGATACATATGATTGAATGAGTCAAATATATTTTTGGCAATGTTTGAGATGTACAGTACTTATATGAGCATGTTGCAAATTAAGCTTTGACCTGTAATATGCACTCGTGTTCTGGAATTAATAAATCCAGTAAAGTAAAAAACAAACAAAAGAAAAAATATAACACATTCAAGCCTACAAAGTGCGCACACATCAGCACACCATTTGCCTTTTTTAAGTGGCCAGACAATCTAATGCTTATTCTAAATCCCTGGATTATCCTACCTTTTTTTTTAAACTGTGCCGCAGTCAGTGCACTTGACTGCCATTTGTTCGCCATGAGACTCACCATCAGCTGTGAGAAGAGGTCAATGAGGTCTTGAGGAGGCAGCACCACCGACGTGTTAAGCGGAATCACAAAGCACGTCCTCAGAGTCAAATCCAAATATGCAGTGAGCTTCTGCTCACACCAACACACACACATACATACATCAGAACAGATTGCAAAATGCATCCACAGCCCTTCCGTGCATGAGTTGTACCCCTCGCTCACCCTGTTGAAGTCATGGAGGATGTAAGCGGGTTCTCCGGGCCTGAAACGGGGAGGTGGGACGCTGATGACAGCCATGCTGTCAGTAATTTCTACCTCTTCCTCCACCCGTGGGAGATAGTAAGGCTGTCTCTCTGCATCGCCAACAGTTGACATGTCACTGAACTGCATGGTACCGTGATACAGCCTCTGGAACGACACAGGCAAGCGCAAAATTTAACTCTAAGATGCACAAAAGATGTTCAGCTTAACTAGGGGATGCAGATTAAGATCTTCACAAAGTATCTGAGGGAGGGCTTGTACAGACTTGTACAGTCTTTTGTCCACTTAACTGCTCCACGCTAACGTTGAAAAGAGTGTCATCAACTCGTTGCGACTCACATTTTTGCCGTTCACGTCAGCAACAGCAGCGGGTGATTGCGCTGAAAGAAATTAGTCTGTCGCCTGAATTTCTTTTTTTTCTTACTTTGCGTGAGAGGTCTTTATGTGAATTTGTATGTGTGTGCGTGTGTGCGTGTATATATATATATATATATATATATATATATATATGTGTATATATATTTACAAATGTTCATCTTTCGCAAGTGAGGGAGAACCAATGAAGGGCAAGAAAGGGCAGACTCAAGCAAGATTTTTTTTTTCTGGCAGGGAAGATTGTCAGGCAACAGTGGCTGACCTCTTGTGTTCTAAAGTGTATGTTCTGGATACATTTGTATTTGGAGGTGTCCATTGTCACTGAATATAGATGACTGCAGTGCAAAGCATTCTCTTCTCCTGGAGTTTTTCAAAATGATGCTAACCGCACTGAAAATCGTCAGTAACTTGTCAAATGTCAAACTCCACTTTCATCACAATCGTGCTGACCTCAAAAAGTCTGAAGACATACAACCCCTGAACCGCAGAGTCTGTAAATGTCACTGATGAAATGCAGATGAAGAGGAATTCGATAGGGACACTCTTATTTCGAAACTGGGGTGAAGTAAATCCAGGTGACCTGTGTGTGTATCTACAGTATGAGTTTCTAAATGAAAATATCTAACTTTATTCGACTAAAATTGGAACTTTAATCTCATAATATGTATTTTTTTCCACTGTGGCCGTAATACTGTGCTCTTTCGTAATTAGCCACGAGGGGGAGCCAAAGCACATATAATGGCATTAAACCGAGCAAAGCTTATTCGTGTACGTCTGTTTCCCAGTCGTGAGTCTCGGCACACATCTAACATTTGAAAAATATGACGGCAGACCAAACAACACTAATGTGGCGCAGCACCGTTTCTGTATTACACACATACGACCACCGCACAGTAACAACAGAGAGACGGATAGACAGACAGATAAATGCAATGATAGAGATACCTTCGGAGTAAAATAGCGATAGAGACATGCTCCCCCGACGATGAGTCCACTTAGGATGAAGGCGATACCCAGCAGCGTGACCAAACAACGACCTGTGGAGCCTGCGATGCCCACCGGAGCAGCGGCGAGCTCGGGGTCCTACACACACGGAAATGAGGCACGCATGTTATTCGTTGTGCAAGTAGGCACGCATGCACGAAAACGTTGCCTTCTAATCGTCAAGGACGAAATGTGCTGAGTGCAAATACTTGTTTGCGGTTGTAACGCCACGAACGTTTGCAAAGGCTGGAAAGGCAACGGGCCGAGTGCGTACAGCGGTCGGCGCAGGCCTGCTAACAGTTTATTTACTACGCACGTACTATCGCTCACCTTCACAATAGGCTCCTTGACGAGAGCTTTCTGCGCCAGAGCCGGGTTGAAAGCGATCTTTACCATCGCGCCACAAGGACGTTGTATTCCAAAAAGAAGAAAGAAATGGGTGTTGCGCGCCTGTGCCGAACGGTTGAACTGGAGTGTTAATTCTCAACAGCTCAGCTCAGTGACGCACTTTGCAGGCTCAGGCTGAGGCTGGATTTATCGAGCACTTCCGGTGGCCGCGGCCGTCTGGGATTAAAAATGGCACCTAAAACGATTCCTTTTAATTTCACAATGCAAACATACATACAAGCAGTGTGCTGCTAATTTCAACAATTTCGTGATATTGGTCGTCGAACCAGCAAACTGTTAGCATTTGCCTCGTCCGTTGTGTTTTATGTAGTATTACAGTAATAGGGTTTTAATTGTGGGATGTTGCATTTGGCGCCATCACGTGGCTTCCAGTAAAAACGTTTACCCCCCCCCCCCCAAAAAAAAGAAAAAAAGGCAGCCCTGCCCTCGCAGTGATTCTCAATAAGGAAGGCTCATATCACATTTGAAACATTCAATCTCTGTTCATTTGTCGCACTGGTTTGACCGGGGGTCGGCAACCTTTTACACTCAGAGCGGTTTCGACCCGGTTCCCACGGAAAAGACAACACTGGGAGCCGCAAACACTTTTTGACATCTGAAACGACGACGTTAGCCTTCATGTACTGTATACGTGTCTAATTATTTTTGCGTCATAACATATTTTTCATATAAAAATGAGAAAATTGCCGCATGTAGTGGGGTTTTTTTTTCATTTGAGTATTTACTTTCCAAAACCATCAAAACGCTCGTTTTTTTCCCCAATAATTCCACACAGAAGTTCGGACTCCCATGATTTGCCATTGCAGCGACTGAAACAAAAAATAAATTACAAAAAGTCACTTCTTTTAGAAACTCATACTGTAGATACACAGATTTTGAAAACCATTAAGTCTGACACAGCATCCTTACATGACACGCTGTTGAACCTACAACTGCTAATTACACATTCTGTTTCCCTAAAGCAGAAATGCACACAACGAAAAAAAAAAGTTAATCGAGCACTGTAATGAATTTAAACAACCACTCAGTGAGAATAATACTGCCCATTCATCACTATGAATACACCACTCTGTAAATTGACCCGGCAAAAGTGCTGTCTCCCACAGGCTGGCCACGACTTCTCAGTGTGCTTGCTGCCCAAAGAAACAGCTTTCACTGCACTGTGTGGAACCACTGGCTGGAGTCATGGCACTACAGTAAATCTGACACATATCCTCAATCCCCTGGTCTGAGGTGGTCCTTTGCTTTCACTCTCTTGGCTTAGTTGTGCTTCTACTATGAATAAATAAACACTTACGGCTGCACCGACTGCTCTACTTCCATGCAAAATTGTGGCATCTTTCCAGTTCTTATACGTATAAAGCAACCATAAGAATCTCTCGATCCCACAAACGCATGCATGCCACCAGGCTATGATATTTCCTCCATTCAACAGACAGATTGGACCGGTAATCACCACTGAAAGGTACATAAACAGAGCAGCTGATTTCTGTACCCAAGTCCCTCTGCTCTTAGCCCCCACCACGCTCTCCACTAATCCTAAATGGTCCCGAAGGCTTGTTTATGGGCTCGTCTTACGCTGTGTTTGATCTGAAAACTTGCCCACACATGCATGCATGGACACATCCACACACACACACATCCACACCGCGAAACAAAGAGCCAACATTAACAGTAATACCGTAAACAGCCTCCACACATTAAGATGATTTGACTGATTTTGAGCCAGACGCTCCCTGCCTGACAAAATGAATGAAGGGCTGATTATTGGATGTTTTAAGATTATCCTGGCCCCCTATCCTGTGGTCTGAGTTGGAGTGCCTCGTGCGATGAAAATGGTTGCGCACAACGCTTCTAAATTAGCAGACTCAATATTTATGAAAAAAAATCTTGTTATTGCATAGTCTACACAGACTGGATTAATGCTTAACATTAAGCCACCTTATTCATGTGACATGCAAAAAAATTGCCAGGGAATGCAGAAAATCAAACCTGAATGTGGAGCGTTATAACCTTCGCCCTCCCAACTGAACCTCCTGCCACCCCTTTGCGACCCCAAATAAAACTGCCTAGAACCACTCCTGGAAGAAGGTGGTGGAAATGATGAGAACATGGAAGAAGGCTGGAAGGGAGTAACACAGGGGAGTGTCAGGGGGCCATAACACAGACAATGCCTTGATGCTTGAAGAAGTTTTTTACTAATTGAGAGCAGATTAAACTCTCCATCTTATCGAATTGATATCAGGTAGAATTTATGCTTTTCAGACCAAAATAAACATTGTTGCGCACACAATGCGTTGGACGTCATACTGCAATTGCGTACCGAATGCCAATATTTCCCTGTGACATGTCGTAAATGTCCTCTAAAAACAATGACATTCACATCCACATCTGGTTTGGCATTTGTATACACTAGCGCACACACACAAACTCCATGGCTGCTTTGTCATCAAACCACAAACGTCTGACAGTGTATAGCTGGCTGCATAAAGTGTGAAAAAAGATTATATTGACCATGACATCACTCACCACGCAAACACACACACACACACACACACACACACACGCACACACACACACACACACACACACGCACACACACACACACACACACACACGCAAACATGCACACATGTATTTTGTAGTACACACACATATACACACACATAAATACCCACACACACGCCCACACCCACACATAAAAGTCCTTTGGTTCCATTGGTTTTACTTAATTTGGACACGTACACAGATTGCACATGATTATTAAAATGTGCTTCACTGACATATACCACTTGAATACTTTTGAGGAAAAGAATAGAAAATGACGTCAGTTGACCGCATTTTAATCACGTGCAACCGAAACTTCAGTAGTGTACTTTTATTTTTTTCCGCGTGCACACATCCATCATCTATTTTATTGCTAGACATGTGAGCCTGCATGTGTCAGATGAACACACACGAGAACACACTAAAATATGAGCACGGGCCAAATTGTTTCGGTACCGCTTTGAGCTAAATAACATTGCTGACATCTCTTCATGTGGAACCACTATTAGCTCCATGTGGTTTTGTGGAGGAGATGCTGCGGTTGCACGGAGCAGGAGACTGAGAAGGGATCCTTGCGCACATGTGGTGGCGAATAGTGATGCTGCTTAAAAGACAAACCTCCCCGTATCACACTGACATGATCCATGCCCCACATCCACAGTCTTGGTCATCACATATGGCTCTCAGACAAGGGTGACAAATGAGGCTTTCCGTAAGTATCAGCTTCTAAAGCTACCTTCGCTCTTGCGTAGCCCCGTGTGTCTTCTACTTTCCTTTTTATCCTCAGTGCTTGACACCCCTCCGGGAAACATAATAATCCCCACACTGAAAGAGAAGTGGGGCTGGTGGTCGGGAGGGCAGGATGTCGGCATGCAGATCAGGATTAGGTTGCAGCGGCTTTCTGGATGTTTGTGTGAAGTCCTTCCTAAATTAGTCTCAAATGGGTGAATTGCCAGCGTACGTGGCGCACCACGAAAAGCTGAGATATGTCGATAAGCTATAGTTTAGACTTGAGCTAATCAGTATCGGAAACATATGTTGACCTGTCCAGTTTAAAGTGATTAAGCAAGGGAAGAGTCAAACTTCCTAAAATTAGCCATGTCAGAGTTGAGTTAATGACTTGATTAAATTTTTTTTTTTTAAATTGCAATTGCGAGTAGATATTTGGGAGTCATAAAAAAAAGCATTGTCAATCAAACTTACAAATCTGTATGATGTAGTTTTATTCAATTTGAATGGCGAATAAAAGACGTACAATATGGGGAAAAAAGCATGGGTACCGGATGAGGGCCACATATGCTTTATCCAAACTTCCCTATAAGGCCCTGTGAAAATGCACCACCTGCATGGTGCTTGTAAAGCATAACAGCAACATTTTGTGACATTTCCTGTAGCTTGAGAAAGTAAAAAAAAAAAAGTGAATTTTTCAGAGTCACTTTTCTGCAGATTTACAACGTTTGTCACCTTGAATTGTTAAATACCAATGTTCAGTGTTACACCGAAAAGTTAAATCCATATCTATCGATCGATCGTCATAACATAGGGTCAACTAATCCTACTATGTCCATGTTTCTATATGTCCATGTTTCTATCTATCTATCTATCTATCTATCTATCTATCTATCTATCTATCTATCTATCTATCTATCAGTAAAATATCAAGTGGATCGAAATTGTTGTAATTTTATTCAAAATTATTGATTGACCACAACGTGAAAATTTGTGCAATCTATCAGTGGCGTCATTGATCAGATCCGCTAAATAAGACATGACAACAAACACAGCCTCATTTACTCCGGGTTTGTTCTCTGCTGTCATAGTGTTAATATGAGGCCGAAAGCGAATCTTTTTTTTTTTTTTTTTTTAGCATTCCCGGGTGTCTTGTGAGCAGAAAGTGCTGTGAGGCGGAAGTTCAGTATGATCTTTGAATACCAAAATATTCGATAGTTGCATCATCGTAAATAAGTGTGAGTACTAAACTTGCCTGCCGGCAGTCTAGACCTGTCTCCCAATGACAATGTGTTGCGCATTATAAAGTGCAAAATGCGGCCCTGAACTGTTCACCAACTAAAATTGTACTGTACATCAAGCAAGAATGGGAAAGAATTCCACCAACATTTCTGCTTTTTTTTCTCGAGCTAGCTAGCTGGCTAGCTAATGCAGCTCCATAAATGGGAGTTTGCTGGATTCATTCCTGAGGCAGGTGTTCCGTTCAGCCCAAATTGGATGAGTCACAAATACTGTACAAGGGGCACAGCTACAGAAAACACGGGGAGGAGCTTACAGGCAAAAGAGACAGAATGAAATGGATGAGTGCCTGCCATGCACCTAGAATCGTGAACTTTTTGCGTAACGACCTCATCATTCTGGGACTGGTGCAAAAAGCCACTCGTGTTTATTTGGCATCCAAGGATCTCTCTCTCTCTCTCTCTCTCTCTCTCTCTCTCTCTCTCTCTCTCTCTCTCTCTCTCTCTCTCTCTCTCTCTCTCGTTCTGTCTCGCATGCACACATAGACTTCAGAATTTTAGCCAATATCATATATCAGTGGAACCACTTTCAGATTCTGTGAGATCATTGTCAGGTTCACA